CCCCCCCGTTCCTCCGAGCGTCCCTCCCTGCCCATAAATCATGAGGCGATGCAGGCGCCTCATCTGTTCCCACTGGAATCCAAATTATGCTCGCTGCCCTTTAAATCTGAAGTGATTTAAAAAAATATCTGCAAACTAACAAAACTTAAACTTTTTGTAACCTCCTGTTTCCACCTGTGAATCAGGAAATACCTGCTCAGTGGACCCACTTCCCTCTTCTTCTTCTGTTGTCCTCCATCACACCTCAACTCTCACTTCCTTCAAGCCAGGCAGCCTAGCAGAGCTGCGGCTGCTGTACCAGGTTGTTTCTTTCAGTTTTTAGTGGAGAGAGCTGAACTGACATGATGGAGAACTTTGGATCCCTCCAGAATGTGTCTGTGTCTCATTATCTCTGTGATTCAGTCCCTCAGAGCTGCCTGTTCATGTCTAACTAACTTTATAGCTGCAGTGGGCTCCCCGGCCCCGCCTCCTCTCATGTTTGTCCAATTGCCAGCAGCTGTTACTCATTTCACAAAAGGCCCTCCCATCCAGAGCTGAGGCTGGCAGCGAGGCTCTCAGCACTCCGTTAGAGGAAGACGTCTCCGCTGTCAGGGAAAGGCGATCTGCTGCTGCTGCTGGTGAGAGGATGTTTGTTTTCTTCTTCTTCCTGTGTTTCGATGTGAAAAGGTTCCTTTGTTTCCGGAGCGAGGCAACAGAGCCTCCTGTTCCACATAACTCAGGCTGACGTCGCAGTTTTTTCTCGTGTTGACTCTGCTGTTCTTCTCCTAATCGATGCTGCTGAACTTTCTTTTTGTCACTTGAGCATTTTCCTTTAAGTCACCGGACCTCCAGTCTTTTATTTTCTCCCTCTCCTTGTTCTGAGCCAGCTGCTCGGACTGTTATCAGGGAGTTTATCACCAACTCCATTCCTCCTTCTCCCTCCCTCCTCCTCCTCAGTCCCAGAAGCAGCTTCATCCTGCTGTCGGGGGATCATGTGGGATCTTTCTAGTAGATCTCTCTGGCTCTCCTCTGACTCCTGACAACTTCAGTCAGAAACCTCCAGACCTGCCTAACACCAGCAGGCGCATGAGTGTGGTCTGAAGATAACGTTTCTGGTTTCCTGCTGTCGCCGGGGAGCTGCGGCTGACGTCAGGACGCTCGGTTTGAGTCCAGCCCCTCGGGGGGTCACACAGGATCCTTTTCTGTGTTTGTCAGAAGAGCGACAGCAGCAGCAGACAGGAGACAAACGAAAGAATAAGACGACTTTGCCCGCTCTGCTTTTGTGTACATGAGCAAAAAGGTTTCATTAAAAAGGGATTAGTTGTTGCTGAGAGATATAAAGTTTCCCCTCTGAAGTGTCTGCCCTCGTTTTAACTCTCCGTGTTTTATCTCTTCTCTGTGTAGCTGCGTTGAGCGAAGTCGGGATCGTTTTTTTTTTATTTATTTTTTTTTTTGTGGGATCATTTAAACCTCGCCTCACACCTGCTGGCCTGAACCGGGAGTCCCTCCTGAACTCTGCTGCGTCGCCCTCCGCCTCCTCATGCCCCTGCAGGCGGAGCGCAGCGCCCGGCCAGCGAGCGTAGCCTGTTGCCTGAAGAAGCCTGCGTCCTGAGCGGGAGGGATGGCCCTGAAGAGGCAGCTGCTGTGGGTGATGGGGAGCGTCGTCTGCCTCCTGGTCATATACATGCTGTGCTTGAACACGCAGTGGCGTCCGTCGTCGTCGTCGTACCTGCTCAATCTGAAGACCTGGCCGGTCAGGTGAGGGAGTTTCTTTGAAGTTTTTTTTTTTTTTCTTCCCCAAAATATTTTTCAGAACTTCATTCTGTACTGCCAAAGAAACACACATTTACAAAGAATTTTGGCCGAGTTTCTACTGCAGATGTCTCGAAATAAGCCAAAACTAACTTCTAAGTAACTTTTTCAGCACAATAAAGGAACTCCTTTTAAGTCAATTTCTTAATATTCATGGAAAAAGTAAAAGTTATCAGTGAAATAATCTGCCAGTGGAACAAGACATTTTTCTCCATACAAGTTAAAATGTCGTGTACCACTGGCACATTATTTCACTTGTACTTTTTCATCAATATTGAGGAACTACTGTGTTTTTATGACAGTTTTTCCAACTACTAGAACATTCACACTAGAAACTAGACCAAAACTACTTGGTCAAATTTTGTTTTTGCAGTGCGCAGCTTTCTTTTCATCGTCATCTCCTAAATTTCAGATCATAAGTTCACAGATGCTCATAACTGGCATTATTATCATTTATTTTGGGTCTTTTAAAGATTCCTTTATTCCATTTCCTCCCCCCCCCCAACAAGGAATTATTCAACTTTAATTTAAAAACAAGCTTAAGGAGTACGAGTTAACTTTTACTGTGGGTGTTCTGTAATCCATACAGACTCAACATTATTCATATGGGCTCAAATATAAACGTACTCCCTCACTCGTGTACCTAACTGGGCCGTTCATTTGAAACGGTTGTTTCCCTTGCACAGACCCAGTTTGATTTGTCCCCTCAGTTTAGATGTGTGTGTGTTGTCATCCTCCTGAGGTCAAAACAGAACAACTCAAATAAATCAACCTGGTTTTTGTTCAATCTTATCGGCTGTCGGTAAATGTCGTCATGTTGGTTCGATGGAAATGAAAGGAGCAAACGTGACCATGAGACGTTCAAAGGTCTGGTTCAGACCTTTGAACTGATTTTATTACGATTATTTAAATATTCTGATATCTAATTACTGCCTGCTGCCTCATGCTGCTTTCAAGAAATGTCAGAAGTCGGCTGGCCTTGATCGCAGATATTAGATTAGTCACAAGCCTAAGATCCTTTTATATATATATATATATTTTAGCCATTTCCTCAATGCCAGTCCTGAAAAGCACAACGGGTTTTCTTTCTCGCTGATTCCAATTTTCTAGACTGGATTCCAGTTCAGTGGTTGGAACTGCATTGCTTGAGGGTAACTAATGTCTGAAAACCGGTCTGGTTTATATGACTCTTCTTAAAAGAACAACTCGCATAATGGATGAACTGCTACTTCCTAGAGCAGTTGGCTGACTGAGAAGGTTTTTCAGTTGTCATTTGTGGGTAACCACAGCTGGGGAAACAAAGACTGAACTGAACAGCACGTCTAAACTTTATTTAAACTCCAGCAGATGCATCTGGTTTTCAGCACAGAAATCTGTAGCTGATTTTTAGTCATTTTCTGGTCTGGTCAGGTGAAAAAGAAACCATGGGAAACATCTTTAATTCCCAGACTGTAGTCCATGTCTTGTCTTTCCCTCCTTGTGGTTTACCTCTCTTCTTTCTGTACTTCCTTCCTTGTTTTTTGTTCATTCTGCTTTTCATTTGGTCCCTGCTCTCCTTCCTTCTCCGTACTTTGTTGTTCCACGTCTTGTATTCCCTGTGCTCTTTCCTTCCTTTTTTTTCATCCTTCTTACAGTCTCACTTCCTTTCTTTCTTTTTCTTGTTTACATCTTTTTTTTTTCCTGTTACCCTGTTCTTTCTTGTCTCGTATGTCCTTACTGCTGTCAGTCTTCTCCTTCCTCCTTTCCTCATGTGTGCTTATTCTTTTTCCCTCGTCAGCCTTTTTCTTTTTGAATCATTCCTTCCCTGAAATGGTTGTAAAGGACTGAGAGAAAAACTGAGCCTGAATAAGCCCTGGATGTTGGACTTGCATGAATCTTTTTGACATCTTATCCTAAATCTTAGAGTATAATGTCTCAAAAACACTTGACCAAAGGAAACCCGCCAACGCCCCTGAAATTTCCAAAGACGAGCTGGATTACTAGAATTAATCAAATCTTGTGTTTTTAGTTTAGTTTAGAACCATGTCAGAGTTGAAGGGTTAAACTGTGAGATCACATGTGATGAAGAGTTTCTACTGTATAACCAGATCCTATCCCCCTCCCCTCTTCCTCCTCCTCCTCGGCTCCAAGTGGATCATTGTGGCTCCAACAAAGGAACCACACAGCACTCTGCTGCCCTAATGAAAAAAATCCCCTGGAGTTATTTGACTGGAGGTGGTCTCTCTCTCTCTCTCTCTCTCACTCTCACACTCTCACTCTCTCACACACGAACGTGAAACGTAAGCTTTGTTCCGACGGCTAGAGCTCCAGCTCTAAAAGCCAGCAGGTCCCCGACAGATGCATTAAGGTCAGCTGAGAGAAACTGGAGCGCAGACTCGTTTCTAAGTTGTTGTTGTTGTTTTTTTTTTAAGAAACTAAAGGGGAAGTGTGCTAGGTTTCTAAAGCTGTTCTCATCTGAGAGATTAATCGATAACAGTTTTGACTGATCTCAGATTTTTGCCAATTTTGATTTTTTTTTCTTTTTCTGAGCGCTATAACAGCTTTGCATATTTTACAATGAAAAGCAGTGAAAATTAAAGGAACAAACATGACAATGAGACGCATGTCTGGTTCAGACCTTTGAACCTATTTTAAGGCAGATTTAAATGATTTTTAAATCTTTAAATGATATTTAAATCTGCCTTTCCTGCTGAGAGCAGTCAGCAGTTGTTGTAATTGGGAGCAGAGAAAACGCGCCGTGTTTGATTAGTTCCTGGCTTAACCATCTAATGGTTAACGTTGTTGAAATAACAGTCAGGGGTGTACTTGTAAGAAAATGTTGATCTAGGAGACTGATCACGTTTCCTCCTCCAGAGGTTGAAAGTGCAGAAGCTTTGCTGTTGGACCTTCAGACCCGTGTTTCCCAACTCTGGTCCTCAAGGCGCATCGCCCTGCAAACTTTAGACGTTTCCCTGCTTTACCACGCCTGATTCAGCTGATTGCAGTTCAGCAAACACCTGTTCCGCTGAAATCACACGAAACCAAGGAGACGGCATGCAGGGCAGTGAGCCGTGATAAGGGTTGGCACTTTCAGTCTTGCTCTCTGTCGCCGCTGCAGCTTAAATGAAGCACCAGCTTGTCATAGTAAACACAATCCACTTTAAATCGTCTTCGTCTCACCGCCTCACGACCTGCGTTTCCATTCCAAATGTGAGCAAACCTTTGACTATGTTCTGCTAATGTCCGACAAAAAACACAATTTTGCAATGGCAATGTTTCCATCGAGTAAGGAATGAAGTTAAACTCACGTGTGACTAAGCTTTCTCATGCGATAAGTCACTTAAAACCATGGCAACAACGGCTGTAGTTACATGAGATTCTATTCATAATTCAGCCACTGAATAAGTGCAGATCTGTCAGCCACGTGACTCGTGATGAGAAAAGTTTCGATTGCAGTTCTGTAAAATATACTGCCGAAAAAACGCCTCATCCTAGCAGAAACACTTATCAAAAAGTGTTTACAAAATTGGCTTTCCCCTCCCGCTCCCCATTAAGCGAATTTAAACTGGGAATGTGGGTTTTACACTGGTTGGGTTCTTGAAGTGATAAAATGTTCTTTAAGGTTTTCTGAGTAGGAGTGACAGGTTCCTGGCCCGAATATGAAGCTGTGACTCAAAAAGCCGAGTTCAGACTGTTTGCTTTTTGCAGAATAACAAACGGTCCTTTAGCACACATCAGCTAGTGTGTGTGGTGTGTGTGTGTGTGTGTGTGGGGGGGGGACCCATTGGCTGTTGCCATTAGAGATGACGCTGACTAATCAGGGCTCACTGAACCTCATTTAACGAACTTCCCATTTTAGTTAATATTTTATGACAGAGTTTTGTAAACATTTTAAAAGACACTGGCACTTAATATGGGTTTACCCAAGCTCATAGTTCTTGTTTGTTTTTTCTTTTTGTTTGCCAAATCCAGCATATCTATAGGAATATCGTACATTTATTAATATTTTCATTTCATTTAACCTTTATTTCACCAGGAAAATCTATACTTTTTTTTTTTTTTTTAATGCAACCAAGTCATCAGATTACAATGTGTAAAGGTTGGTTGCTTTAAGGTATATTTACCCAACAATGGGACCTTTACCAACGCCAGGGTTTGTATGTATTTACTTATTTTAAAAATTAATTTTAGTTTTGCTCTTTGCCGTTTTTCACCCTGCCAGCAGAACGAGACGGTTTTGGTGAATGTTCAGTCTGACGCCGTGTTGCGTCCGTCGCCTTGGACCCAGCAGCTCCTCTGTTCTGCTGCACACTTTGCTCCTCCAGGGAGTGTGAAGGTTGACTTTACGACCCGATCGTCAGCTGACTCTGGCCCCTCAGCAGGTCACATTTCACAGGTTTTACCGAGAATGCTCTTCCCTGCCACTCGGTTCACATTAATTCACTTACTTTTAGCATTTGTGCTCTTCTCTTCAGTTTTTTTAGTTGGTTTTATTACTTGACGTCAGTCGTCATAAATTCCCTGGAGTTATTCGACTGGAGGTGGTTTGAACCAAGACTGGATCCTTGGTGCACAAAGCGGAGTAGCATTCATCTGTTCTGTAGGTTGTAAAAGTGTGCGCTCGTTAGTCTGAGGAAAAAATGGCTGAAAATAATGCAGAAGTCTTTAATTTGATAAATAAATACTGCTGCTGGTGAATACCACTGCCATTTATTCACTTCATCCTTATTGCACTCGCCTGGACCGTCTTTGCCATCCGTCACTAAAACAGGCCCAGTAACGTCAGTGAAGTGGCATCATGAAGTGTCTGTAAGATGGAGGCCATGATTGCTACTTAAAGTGGCAAAACATATCAGCAGCCTGCCAGTTCTGGAATATTTGCTTATCAAATTACAGGTTAGAGCACATAGTTTCCCTGAAGCCAGACAGAAGTAAAATGGAGCCTATCCGCCGCTGTGAAACAAGTGAAACCATTTGGTTATCATTTTTATGGTCATGTATTGTACAAGTTTTTTTTTAATCAAGGTTGTTGACAGATTGACGTCAATGCTTTGTAATTGATGAATGGCCTAAAATGAAATTGCACTTGTCAAACCTGAAATGAGATTAATTTGTTTTCCTTGGATCATGTTTGAAATATTTAGTGTTTTTCAGGCTAACAGGTAAGATTTCTATTTTCCAAAAAATTAGGCAATAACGCGTTCTCAATTATGCGCTAGTTCCCGTCACATAAAATCCTTACTAAATGCATTTTATGTCAAATGAAATGAGACATGACATCTGTAGTGCTTCTGGATCATATTGTAGTTTCTCTACCGTTTCTACAGTTGAGCCAAAGCAGATCGTTTCCCCTCATCTCATTTGCACCAGGTGAATTCTGACTTTAATTGGTGCTGATTTGCTTGACCTGAACTGGTTCGTAACACAGAGGTCTGTTCTTGGCTTGTGTTCCAGCACAACCTTGAATACTAATGAGGATTTTGCAGAGTAGTATTTTCCAACAGGCTCTACATGAGTTGGCTGAGAGTCGTGTCCTTTCAGGAAGTGTAATGGCTGAACGGTTCCTTCAATAGCAAACAAAGACTGAGATCACCGTGTGTGGTTTGATCCTCCACAGCAACTCTAAGGATGCTCTGCTCAGATGGAGCGACTTCGTCCAGGACGACCTGGCCGCCACCACCCTTCTTGACCTCGCGGGAGCCAAACAGACTGCAAAACCAGCACAAGACCAAATCAAGAACGACTCGCTGTCCGGGTCCGACGGCGTAGACAAAGCCAAAAGAACCACGAGGGCCCCTCTGGCCAAGCCCGCCAGAGCGCCGGGCCCCACAGAACCCCCTTACATCGGAGACTTTTACATGAGTGAGAACATCCCTCCACAAACGGTGAGTCAGCTCTGGATTTAACGGGATTATTTGACCCAAAGATTTGGTGTCAATGGAATTGATCATCTCTGTTTGTCTTGTATTGGACAGTATCTGCTTTGGTCCAAAACTAAAGTGAGGCCTCCCAGACTGGTATCTCCTGTGTCTTTTAGATGTTTATAGGTTCATCGAACCTGCATCAAATGCTCATTAGCAGATCTCTGTAGCGCTAGACGTTGAGGCGATTCAACCATTTGAAGCAGAAACGCGTCTACAGGGTGCAGAGCGCAAACCTGCCCTGAAAGACTCGAGCTGCTTTAAACTTTTCTAGAATTACTCCGGCTGTTCCTGTCAGACGGTGTAAACAGGTTTTCAGTTGACGTTTTCCTGACCTGCAGCAGCTCACTAATTATCAACTTTTTAATCCTGTGAAAAGCTGTCTGCTCTGTTTTTAAATTACCTTTCTGCCCCATGTTAAGAGGAGTGGCGACTTTATTTTTTATTTTTTTATTTTCCCATTTGGTTTCACAAACCTCCTCTCTTCACATCATCTACATCAGTCATTGGATTACTGTTTACCCTGGAGTTCTTGAGTATTGTTGATGACGGCGAGTCAACTATAAACAGAACTTTGTTTGAACCGTTTCATAAATGTAAGATGTGTTGGGGCTCAGAGGTGAGATTTAACCTGCATTTGATTAATGTTCCCTATAACCTGATTTAACCTGGAGAAGTGATTAATGTTTAAACTGGAGAATCAGGAGTTTAGATTTAAAGTTTGTAGATGTCACAGGATCAGGCTTATCAGCATCATTAATGTTCTGGCTTAGGTCCGGCTCTGTGTTGTCTCTGGGCGGCTGCCGCCATTGTGCAGATCTGTGTTCCTGTTAAATGTTTTAGTTTAGTCATGTGTGCGTTGCTGTTTCCATACCTTGTTACATGTTGTGTTCTCTCTTATGACTCATTAAAACTGTTTTTTTTTTTTTTTGCAAAATCAAGCAAGATTTGTGCACAGTCCTGTTAAAACTGACATACCCTGACACACACACACACACACACATAATTTGGTCTATAACAATGTACTAAAAATCGAACTGAATTCTCTAAAGAGCAGCTTCCATTCATTTACAGTAGTTCCTGTTTTTTTGTTTTATTTTTAATTCTCCTCTTCATCGATTGAGAAACCAGGACAGGACCAGCAGCCATTTTTATAAATATCATAGATTTAACACACTTTTTATTCAGTCAAGTCTAGTCGGAGCCACTTTTACAAAAACGGTTTTCTTCTCCATCTTTTTAAATAAGTTGGTGAAAGGTTTGAGCATCGCTCTGTCTGCAGACTGTAGTAAGAGCAGTGGCGACTGGTTCAGAGGCTCCAGTCTAACCAGTAGACGTCTGCCACCTTTTCCTCTCTCCTGCCTGAGTTCATGTCGGGTCTGTATGACTAACAGAAAACAGTCTGCCGAACCGTGAGCCTCAGGAGGATATCTGACCTGCTGACGGACCGTGACAGACGGGGACTGTAGCGTTTTCCTTTTTCGTCTCTGTTTTTGTTGTCATGACTCTACCGCTGTGTTATCCGCTCCTCACAGAACTGCCCAGATGGCATCCGAAGTCGGATAAAGGAGTCCGAGTTTGGACAGCTGTTCCTGGAGCACATTCCCGTCCTGCAGTGGGCCCGACATGTGACTCAGGAGCAGCACCAGCGTCTGAAACGGTACCCAGGGACGCACGGCTGGGGAGGCATCGACTACGACAGTGAGATCCACTTTCTCTAAATGTTTTTATTTGTTTTTCATAGTTTTTCTGCATTTTATTATTTGGGGAGTTTTCACTGTCCTGGTTCACAAAGAGGCTCCTGTTTTACAGGCAGGACAAGAATTGCAGTAAATAAAACACTGTTTGATGCTGCAAGATAAACTCTTGTTTTGTCACAGCAGTGAAAAAATACTGGTTTCATTTTTCCGAAAAACTGTTCCTGCGATCCTTCGCCACCTCTGAAAGGAATCTACCCACCTTCACAGGGCATGAGGTTTACGTTCAACTTTGCTGACCTCTGAGTTTGCACTCGGAGCAACGAGCTGAACGATCGTCTGCTTTAAAATTAAGGGCAGGCACAGACTTGTGGGTCAGGCTCAAGGGATCAGAGGATGTAGGATGAGATTCCTTTGTTTCTCCAGAGAATTTGGAGCTTAACAACTGTTGATGGGAGAGAGTTTCTTCTTCCTAATGACTTTCTTTTCTTGATTAACGTCTGTCTCTGTTTTAGTTTAGCTGTTATGGGTTCCTGGAAAATGTCTGTTTTTTTTGTTGTTTTTTTTTAGATTCACCTTGGAAAAAAAATTCTCCAATCTTGGATGCATTTATAAGGAATCAATAATTAATAAATAGTAGGTTTACTCAAGGCCAGAGACTCTTAATCTTGACGCAAACTGAGGAGGACATGTGGCGTTTGTGGCCGTAACCTGAATATTTTAATATTCCATTCAGTTCAGGTTCATTTTTGGTCATTTTAATGAAAACATTTTATAGCATCAGAAACCAAATGTCACTCCAGTCAAAATTACTGTTAATTATGCATGAAGATTAACTTCTCTTTTTTTATCAGATAAAGTGAAGTATAATAAATCTGTAGATCAGATCTGTGTAATTATTGTGCAGTGAACCAAACTTAGTGGATTTTTGTGTTTGTTTTCGGACAGTTTGAGGAAGCAGGAGTCTCTCATCATCATCCTCATATTCTGTTAATGTGTAAAGATGGGCTGTGATATGTACAGTTTAGGAAACATTTTATTATTTCTGATTAATTGTGCTTCTCTCTGCAGCTCTGATGGATACTCTGACTGTGCTAAACTCCTCCGCTAACTGGAGGATGTTGGATGACTGGGACAGTCGCAAGAATAAATCGGCGTGCAGCCGCTGTGCCGTGGTGGGAAATGGAGGGATCCTGAAGGGCTCGAAAAAAGGGAAGGAGATCGACGGCCATCATTACGTCTTCAGGTACTGAGCTGGACAGCAGAGCGCTGACATCTTAACAAAACTCTACTGTGTAAAGAAACTCGTCAAGCAAGTTGATTTTTGTTTTATAAGTTGCAACAATCTAAAAAAAAAAACCAAACATGCTGCAGATGGGTTTGGCTGCCATGGCAACATACCACATACCCCCATCAAAATAAAATGATCATAAATGTTGTTTTGAGATGTTTGGGGTTTTCCTTCCGTGTTTGTGCTCATTTGTGGACCCTGTGGCTCCGCAGGACTAACGGGGTGGTCATCAAAGGCTTCGAGGAAGACGTGGGCTCCCGGACCACCCACTACACCTTCTCCACCAACACGCTGATGAACTCCATGAGGAGCTACGGCGGCGTCGGGTACAACGGACCGCCCGTGTCCGCGGTGAGGACGCGACCACAGGGTCTCTCCTCCTCTCTGAAGGACACGTCCTCTCTTTTAACGCTGCGCTGCTCCGCCACAGGAGACGCGGTACGTTTTCCTGCCCGATCACGACCGGGATTACCTGCTGATGAAGGCGGCGTCCACGCACACGCTGGTGCTGAGGGGACCCGAGCGAAACAAAGAGTGAGTGACGGTCACAGATGAGTTTATGTCGAGGTTGAGCAGCATCATTGATCTAAAGTTGTGATGAAATGTGAGCCGTTAATTTATCTTGTTGCATTCAAACCCGTTGGCAGGTTGGATCTCCGTAATGTTTTTATTTAAGGCAGGCAGGGCACATTTTTACTCACAAAATGCAACTTCACCTAATGTTATGAATATGAATTTTTACAGTTCTGTGATTTAAAAAATAATAATGTTTTGATATTCAAATTCTCATTAAATTTTAAGTATAAATCCTTTTTAAAATTTGATTTGAACTTGACGGGAGTCTGAATTTTTAATGCGTTTTAAGACGTTTCCTCTTTTAGTTTGATGTGTTTTTATATATAAAATTGATCAGATCTTTATTATGTTCTAAATAATTTAGATCTGACCTCTGGCTTATTAAAACGCTCAACCACTTCCACCGTTTCATCATTAGTCATTTGCCACAGCCGACGTAGAAAAAGCCACGTATCCTTTCGGTCCGACTTCATCCGTCTCAAATATTTACACATCACTCCTTGCAGCTCATTTGCTTGGTTCGAGTGGTTTACCTACAGCTTCGGTTTGGGACAGATCGTCTCACGTTTCACTTTAAAGGACCTTAACCTGGGTTAAAGCTCCACTCTGTAAAGGTGCTTCTCCCCATTTAAATTCAACCTGCTGTGAACCAGTCTGCAGCTGAAGTGAGTCACGTAGTTGAGAGCATAGAAAACCTGAAACTGAAACCGTTTTTTTTTTTGTTTTTTTCCAGAGCTGCCATGTCATCCCTGATGTAGTTTGCAGCTTTGCTTCATGCAGTTTGTTCTCAAAGCCGCTCGGCACTGATGGGTTTCCCGACGTTTGTACATCGACTTCCTTGAGCCGATAGATAAAATGATTAGATTTGAAAGATGCTGTTCACTTAAATCCACGTAATGACAACTGTGTCGTATTTTTACACTTCAGTTTTCCCAGAGTCCAAAATAATTCCCGTTGCCTCTGGATCACATCGTTCTCCCGTTTATTTTGTTTTCTCATCTGGTCGAGTTGAACGCTGCTCCTCGACACGGCGATGCTGGGCGAACGCAGTCATTGTTCACAGCTGAATCTGTTGTTGGTTTCTGTTAAAGTGCTGATTGTCGACATTCAGGACTTGAATCTGTTGAGATTCTCCAGTACTTTTACAATATCCCTAAATTATTAAACTTTCTGTAAAGTAGCTCTTATAGTTTTGACAGAAGGTGCTTGTCGGCAACTATTCGTGTTGCTGAATGGATGTGAAATTAATTCACTCTATACATTTTCTGTCATTGTAATTTAATACCCAAGCAGAGATTCCTTTGTTTTTTAAACTGTTTGCCTTTGTTTTGTTTTTTTTTTACATTGGTGAGCTTTTAGACCAGTTGTTTTACATTTTAGAGGCTTTAAATTCTTCCAACTAGGCGCTGGCTGCATGTGTGCGTGTGAAGAAAGGTTTACGGGTTAAAACTTGAAGACAAAACGACATGAGGAAGTGGTACAGTGTGAATCTTAACAAAGATGCAAGCTAAAGATATGTTTAACCAGTTTTATTAGAATCCAGGTTTCACCTGAAGATGTGACGATTACTGCAAAACCAAAATACATTTTTCTACACCGTTAATTTCTATTGTTTACTTTGCGCAGCCCAACGAGATACTTTGGAAAGGATGTCTCGGCAGCAAAGCTGAAGATGTACCACCCAGATTTCATCCGTTACCTCAGAAACAGGTGAGCCGGTGATCTGAATGAAAACGGCAGCAGAGATGGATTTGGAACGTGATGAGACCTGAACGAGCTTCTGAATAGATTTTCCTGCTGGTTTACGTAAAGCTGCCCGAAGCATGAGAACGTCGGTAATCCCTAAAGATGTAGTTATGCTAATTAAGTTTTTAAAACGGCGGTTTTAGACGTTGTTTGTGCAACTCTCGACAGATTTCTGATTTCTGGTTTCAGATTCCTTCGGTCGAACATCCTGAACGGTCGATATAGGAGCATCTACCGTCCATCGACTGGAGCTGCAATGCTGCTGGCCGCGCTGCACACCTGCGACCAGGTAGGAGTCGTGTTCGCCCTGCTGAGCCATGAATAGTTATTTTTTTTAATGTATTATCTACCACACTTTAACCGTGATGGAAACTTGCCTGTAGAAGTATACGAAGTAGGTTTAACCTGATGGAGAAACTGCAGAGGAAACTAAAAATCAGGGTAAGCCATCAAATGGAGCAGCAGCAGCACTACATAAAGAAAACAGACTTTTATTTTATTGTATAGAACTTTACATTTTGTTTATTATATGAAATGTATGTACAGGACATCAGCTATGAAATAAAAGCTTGGTTAGAAATGCGTCGTATATTTCTGGCCCGGGTAATCATGCAAAGTTTGTCTTAAGTCATTGTTTTGGTGTGGCTGTTGCAAAGCTGTGATCTTGGTCCTTACAAAATGTCTGAGTAGAGCTGGAAGAGCTTGTGTGTGTGTGGGATAGGAAGCTTACACACTGACCCAGTTACACCGGTTCTGATCGGAGGAATGGGCCAGAATTCCAGTAAGTCCTGTGAGACGTTTGTTGGAAGGAAACTTAAAACCAGTTAAAAGTTCAGTTCTGCCAAATATTAAGTAAAGGTCTTATGAATCTAAAATGAAGAGACAAAACTATCTTTACTCTTGCATTTAGCAAAGGGAGATGATTTTTGGGCCATTCTGACCTAAAATAGAAAAATGTTGTACAACGCCTGGCTGCGCTTGCACAAAGACAGGATTGTGATTCTCCTCAGCTCAACCTGCAGAAATATTTCCCATTTCATTTGTACTTTTTTTCTTGTTTTTCTTTGGTTGTCAGAACTGCCACAACCTTCAGATCCCTTTTTTGTAGAACCCGTTTTTCAACCTGTCAACAGGAGGGAACGGCGATCAAGATAGAAAATGAGTCTGCTTGTTTTATGCTTTGGCATAACGGTTAAACCTTTTGTTTGTTTTGTAGGTGAGCGCCTACGGCTTCATGACGCCAGACTACAGCAAATACTCGGACCACTACTACGACAAATCCTATCACAAGGTGGGCTTCTTCGCCAACCACGACATGCGTATGGAGATGAGAGTGTGGCAGAGCCTGCACAAGGCCGGACTCATCACGCTTTTCATGCGCAATGAAACGAACCTCAACTGATGTCGCCCTTCCTGCAACGTGATGCGAGTTTTCCTGTCGGTGAAGAACTGTAATGTTTGTTCAAACAACTGTTTGGGTTGTTCCTGGGAAAGATGAAGATTGAATTAAACTATTTCTCTAGAAGGATTTATTTATCTTGGGATGCACGAGTTGAGCGTCTGTGGCTCCCCAAAGAAATGTTTCTTTTTTCCCCTCAGTTATCACAATCAAGTTGAACTGTAATTTAAGAAGACGGTGACAGTGTTCTTATACAAACAAGACCAAAATTAAGGATTTCTGAGCCTTAGAGAAAATCCACTGGAGTAGCTTTGTGCATAAATTATTGACCGTTCTAGTAATAAATGCATCGGTTCGTATTACATGCTGTCGCAAACAAAAAAATTCGGTAACACTTTATTTGAAGGGGGGTGAATAAGACTGTCATGACACTTTCATAAACATAACACCTGTCATGAACATGAATAAGCCTTCATGAATATTTATGACTGTTGTCATAAAGCGTCATTCGGTAAATTATGACATTTTTAATACAAAGTTGACATTCAAAATGTCTTTGTTATGACAACTTGACATTAACCAGGAAATCATTACTGTTTAAACTTTACCTTTAATAACATAAAGATACCTAATTTTTAAAGTGCAATCAATAATACTTTTATAACAAATTTATAGCTTCGGTTAGCGTTTCCACCCTTGGTCCTCACGGCACACTGCCCTGCATGTTTTAGATGTTTAATACTTTTGAATCAGATGTTCAGCGATCAGTCTCCCATTCAAATTATGTATCCTGAAGCAGAATAATGTCTAAAACGTGCAGGACGGTCTGCCTTTTCTGACCAGGGTTGGAGAAAAACTAGCATAGCTAACATCTGGGCTAACAGGTGCCTCTAAATGATTTATTTGTGGATAAAAGTTGCAGTATGAAATTTAACGCATCATTCTGAAGTTTGAATCTTCTGAGCTCTGACCGTCAACACGGTAATGGAAAGACGTGCTAGCATGCTAACGTTTGCAAGTAGCTCAGATTGATCCGTTTTAATACCGCATTAAGCTGTTCAGCTTCAGGTTTTGTCAACAGCCACCGAGCCACACTAAACGGTCTGGAATCATTTTCTACATGAGGTCGTGGTACAAAGGGCTAAAGATGAATACATGAATAAAACTGGTGTCTAGAGTTATCGAAATATGCAATCATAATTGTTTTGGTGACCAACCTGCTGATAAACGCACCATTAAAAGGCGGCGTGCATAAAGGGTCTCTAAGAAAACCCAAGATTTGTTTCCAGGATGTCTAAACTCCGTTTCTGGTTAAAGTATTAGTCAAGTATGAAATTGGTTGTACTTCCCGAAATGAGTAAATCTCCCTTAAATAAAACTGTAATGTGCTGAGGAGTAGATGCAGTTCCTTGACAGTTTTGTTGTTTTTCTAGAACCTAGGGTACAGTATCTTTTTTTTTTCTCTACAGCAACAAGGACTGTAAACTTTCACCAAAGATCTATCCTGCTGTTTAGTTTTTTAGAGCCATAAATCTCAGCAAAGGTGTTGCCTGAAGGACTTAAGAACGTCACAAAATGTGTCTCTGCCATAAAGTTTAATGTGAGATGCTGTTAAGGATCCAGCTCTGTTTCACTTTAATGGCTCTCACCTGCAGCCAAAGTTTATTCTGACTCTCTCTCTGTCACTCCTTTTACTGTGGATTGCCTCCAACTGTGACTTTAAAGCTTATTCTGATTATTGTGTAAATATGAAAGGATTTATATATTTAACTTTAATTGTAGTGGGGTTTTTTTTTGTTTGTTTTTTTAAAACGTTGCCACTTTGAGTTTAAACACTTTGTGGCCATTTGTGCCTTTAATGAAAAATGGCATTTTGTTTAATTTTTCTTGGGTGTAGGTGTTTCTGCAGAGACAGGAAACGGGGAGCTGTTTAAGACTTGTATTTTATTTTATTTTTTTGGGGAAGGTGGCAGGTAACAGGATTGGTTTGTTCACACTCCCCTCTGACAAACTGTCCTCTGTGTTGCATCATCCTGTATGACAAACTGAAAGTTGCATTTTTCTACAGTCTTGAGACACTGTGGGTTTTTGTTTTTTGGGGTTTTTTCAAGTGGAGGAAAAAGGAAGGGCAAATCAGGGAGCTTTTTGTATTATAAGCTACATTCAAGTAAAGGGGTTTCATTCTCTAAACCTGTCTATTTTTCTATACTGTAGCCACGCAAAGGGACTTTTACAGTGCAATTTCTGTTTATTTTTGACCCAATAAAACTGCACAAATGTAAAACCAGCTTTAATGGATGTTTTTTGTGTTTTTCTGTAACCTTTCACACTCCCAACCTGCGTGGTGTTTCTTATTCCCCCCGCCAACAGAACATGGAGACGATTTTCTGGAAAATATTGAATGAAAATAAGCCAGTCAGCTGATGCAGTTTTGCTTCCTATTTTCTGGCTGTTATTTATACCTGCAAGCTGTTATGAACAAGAAAATGAAACTAGATGTGAACTTAATGTAATCTGGGCTAAAGAGTTTATTGATCATCCATCTGAGCTCATCTTTCAAAATAAAAGATGAGCTCAGCGCTTGAGGAATGTGTTCAGCTGGGTGTTTATTCCACCTCTGTTTTTTTTTTATCATAACTCTTTAAATCCTTAATTTACAGCTTTAAAAACCCTTTAAGGTGTTGATCTGCAGGGCCTTGAACTGAGGTTACCTGGTGGTGAACCGCTGCCACTCATTGCTGCGCAGCAGGGAGGGGAACGTGAAGCCAGATGTGTGTGGTGTCATGTGGTCGGGTGCGTTTGAGGTCATGAGTCAGACTTTACAGCACTGCCAACATGTCTGCCAGCTTGAGGTTGCAATTACAGAAAGCCATGGCCATCTGAAGTTTTTACACCAGTAAGCTTTTTGAAAAGTGACACTGGCGTTATCTAAGGATGATCAACAGGTTTCTGTTTACTGTAATATTCATTAGTCATGAGTATTTCAGGCACCACCCGTCCCATAAACTGGAATATAATCATCCTGTCAATCTTTCCAGCACAAAAATGAGATCTGTGGTCTTAGTCTTGGATCCCACGATGAATGTTGGGGAGTAAACAGGAACCCAAGAAATGAGAGGAAAACTGTTTAAATGAGGTAAATTATTTGCTGTAAGTGTGGAAAAATTGGTTAAATCGGTTAAACATCTTAGATTTATTGCTCCGGGGGGAATGTAAGCTGAGCTGCATGTTTTTTATATATTTTCAGATTACTGCATTTTTGTTGTGGAAGTAAAAATGACAATGTTTTAGCTTTATGATTCAAAACTAAGCGCTTTCATCAACCCTGCAGGAAACGCTCCTCTCTGCTGCTGCCCAGTGGCGGTAACAACTTACTGCTTCGGCTTCCATATTCATTTAATTCAGTTCAATTTATTATTACAGCACCACTTTATAATCTCAACATTTTTAGTTTATATATATATAGACAAATATCAATCAAATAATGCAGACAATAATCAACCCTGATGAGAAACTGAATGCAGGTGTTGACCTCAGACTGATGCTGTCAAATTTTAATGATCTTCAGATCTCTGAACATTTATGTTCTACATTTCCACTGAGATCTTCATCCAGTTTACATATATATACAGACAGATCAATCTATAGATATATCTATCTACATATACATATATAGACATATGTATATCTATATATATATATATATATATATATATCAAAAGATGAATATTTTTTGCTGCGCACAAATCCTTCCTTGTTCGCTGCTCCTCTGTTTAGCTGTAAATGGTCTGGATTCATGTTGAGCTGTTCAAATCGCACTGACCCCTCAAAGTGCTTCACACAAGAGGCACATTCACCCAGCAACATGCATGGAGCCATTAAGGAGCACTGCTGCCATTAACTTTCCTGCTTTTTCCGACACTCAGCCTTCAGCACTTCATGAAAAGAAAACAAATAAAACAAGTTTTGTTTTCTTAGCATGGCCTAATACTCCATCATAGAAACTTACATAAAAAACAAATTGGGTGAATTTAATAAAAAGCTAATTTAATTTCTTTAAAACACTTTACAAAAGCAAAAATGCTCCTCATTATGCCATTTTCTACTGTTCTTAGAAGGTTGTTCTGTGATGTTTATTGCATAATGAGCTCAACAGACTTGGTCTGCTTGGTAATTGCTGCTGCCACTAGTCTGAAGGAGCTGAGTGAGGAAGGTGAATGGATTTCTCAAACATGCATGAATGAATGAAAGCAATACTCCTGGTGTGTTTTTTTGATGAGGGAATAACATGATTTAAAGCTCAAAAAATGTGATTTTATGTAACGCCCTTTATGAACCTTTACACCATCATGTTCACAGATTAGATACGAAAATAAAAACAGCTTGTTCAACAGCTAGGACCCTTTTAAAGCTGCCCTGTCTTTTTGTTTCTCTCCCTCCCTGTTGGTGGAGGCAGATGGCTTTCCTTCCTGACTCTGTTTCCACTCCAGGTCTCATCCTGGGAAAAGGGAAAATCCTGCTGAGCAAAACTGTTGAAATGACCTTCCAGATGTTTCATCATGACATTCATGACTTGCTCTGCCTCCACTTTGTCTTGTGAGACATCAGTTCCCCTGCTCTGTCTCACTTGTCTGCTGTGGTGGAGTGAACGTTGGGGGATGGGTCTATCTGCCGGTGAACTTCCCTCGGAGCTCATTCAGCAGGAACTCGGAATGACGTTTCATAACTTTGTAGCTACAGTTCCTGCCAGCAGCCTGACTTTGACGGGCTGAAACCTGCAGACACGCCGTAGCAGTCGGTTCTCTGCCTGCACAGATGATGAAGCTTCACAAGGACCCTCTGCTGCTGAATGCACCACAACAATCACCGCCTGCTGCACAAATCCTGCCCTGATGCAGAAAACAAGCAGATATATCTCGATATTCATGGAAATCTGCAGCATTTTTACATACACATTGTTTATTAATCACAACTAGAGACGGTTTAAGGAATGTGTGAAGGTTGAAGTAAATATTTATTTTTTAATCCTGCCAACAGTGAGGCTTTGCTCCGCTAGTTCCGCCTGCTGTGTTTTATTGAACTGCTTTCTTCATCTGCATGGAAACGAAGGTTGATTGTTATTTATGGCTGAGATACA